AAACTTCGACTGTCGATAAGTCAAATCCAGTTTAAACATATTTCTTTCCTAACTTGATCCGAATGCAAATGGTATGAAAATTGCTTTATTATTTGTTCAGAGTTTCCGGACTCTGATGTTGCATATTTCAAGCAACCTGTTGTATTCTCGGTCGTTAGAAACTCGCTGAGGATTTAAGTTATTTAACTGCAATATGGACTTATCAATCGGAAGTTGTTTGTTAGTGTTTCATACCCCAAATTACAGTTAAGTGTAATTTAAAATTTGTTTCCATTTATGACATTTTCAAATTTTCCAAGGTGCTTGAATTTTGCATGAAACGCATGCTAAATGCATGAGTTTTTTTAAAAATGTGTAGTATAAAGTACTTGATTTAATTTTCCTAAAGCTTCTGCCAGGTCTGCGTTGCCGTCGAAGTGAAATGCTGCAGACATTTGCACTTTTACAAATTTAAAGAAATAACAAATAATATAATGATGTCAGCTGTTCGATTTATTCGAATTTTACTTCAGAGGAACATTTGGTAATATGTCGTTACGATTTTTGCCCTTTTGCTTTTTCTCGCTTTTTAACAATCTCAAGGGTTTTTTTCGCATATGCCCTTTTTCCCTCGATTTCACTAACAAGGCAGAGATACCGAATTAATAGAGCTTTCAACATCTCTGAATTATTTTGCATATTTAAATGAAATGTCAGGCACAACGGTATCTATGGCTTCCCAGTGTAAGCTAGTAATTTACTACTTTATATGTATATGTGACGTTGATATATTGTACCAACCTTTCTCAGCAGAGTAAACTATATCCGCCAAAAATACTGGGAAATACACTACATAACAGTATAAAGATATTTGCTCGATAAAGGGTTGGAATTAACTTGTCGTCAAGTGCTTGAAGTTATTTCGCTTAAATCGTGCAGTAAACATGAAGCTATTTATTTCACGTCTCTAGTTTTCCTGAAAGAGGAAAATTTACCTTTAAAGCGCGACAAACAAATTATTTTTATGTTCGTAGAAGGCTTGTACATGGTCGGCAAAGATTTACAGCCGCATTTCTTGAAACATTTTTTAACTTTAAACCCATACATTTACGGAAAAATAAACTAGCAATAATTGTCCCGTAATTGTAGTTTCCCTTAAAAACTTCTAAGCGAACACACTCAAATAACTGAAAACTGAAAAGGACCGAGATGGGCTTTATAAAACAAGATAAAATGCCCAGCAAAACAATTATCCACTCGCATAAACAGGCAACTACTTAGCCACATAACTGCAATAATGAAATTCCATAATTCAAATGCAAGTTCCGGAAGAAAGTTTAATTTTTGCCACTCACGGAAAATTGCAGAAAAATGTAATTTTGAAATGATAATTGCGACTTCACGAGTATTCCGATGGACTCGCCTTGATCGCCACTTCAAAGTTTGCGGCATCCAAAGTTTAAGTAAATAAAGTCCATAATTAACTCTAATGAGCGCTAGAAAAAATGGCAATATCGCTCTGGTGTTGGCAATAAAGAATATAACTTAAAGCTAAAGTAAATTTTGACGTTTCATTTTTTTCTACATTAAAATCACACTAAAATCAAATATAGGCGTCCTGTTGAATTGCCTGAACTTTTTTTTAAATCAGTTTTCTAAATTGACGTCGTTAGCTCTAAGCTCAGGTAATTTTACTGAGCTTCGTGAATACTTGCGGCGGCAGAAAATACGATTTTTGTTCTCAAAGCAGAAAAAACGTTGATAAAAAATGTTATAATTCAACTTTCCAGAAATAAGCGACTACATGCTAATGAAAAAATTAATGTTAAACTTCCTTTTTATGTGCACTGCTTCATTATACAAGTCTCTTTTTGACCTTTTTACAAATATTTGAAGGGGAAAGGACAGTAATCTTATTTCATTTTACATAGAGCTTTGCTTACTGACGACAGGTCTTTATTCTATACATGTCTGTTCTATTGTAATGTAACGGGCGGTTGCTTTCTTCCCAAATCAAGGGCAACAAATGCGGAAAACCCACACAGTTTCACGCTAATTCGCAGTGAGTAACTGTCTTATATTCACTTTATACGAATGAATATTTTCGCAATTTTCAAGAAAAATTGAAGTTTATCAAAAGGAAACATTCGCTTCACTTTTTATACATTCGAGTTGGAAAATCAGAAATCGATTGAAAGGAAATATTTCCTTTCCAGATCATTGGCCATAATCGAAATTGTACAAAAGGTCGGTAAATTTGCATAAAAAATGATGCATGCCACTTAGGCGGAAAACTACAAACATTCCAAGTTCGTTCGAAAGCTCGATTTAACAACTTGATCATTGAACGGTTATTAGAGGATATTATAGGTAACAGATGTCATTTCCCAAAATTTCCATTGTAAAGCTGATTTAAATAAATAATCGGCGATGTTCAACAAATCTCTTTCATATTTCGCTGCTGCTCAATTTGTTTGATAAAGTATTAAAAGTTCGAATACAGAGCAGATTTCTAGTGCCCATCATCATTAAAAAAAGTTTTGGATTTGATATCGTAATTGAAATTGTCGATGGAATTTTTTTGTGCGTTTCCACGGTGAAACCAGCTGATATGCAAATAACTATTCAAATTTCAAGAGTTGGAAACAATATTTTTTTTTATTAACTAACGGATTATTCTTAAGTGGTAAAACTAGTGACAGTAACAAACGATAGCAAATGTATAAAAATCTGATTTCGGAGCCAATTTCATTGAATTTGGCTGTTTCACTGTGTTATTCTTCAGCTGACCTAATAAAATACGGACAAGATATTTATCGTTACCCTTAAAACCCAGGCCACTCTCAGCTAGCCCTCTCAATTTGCTTCGATATTTTTTCCTCATTCGATATAATCTGATATTGACAAATATATTTGCCGAAGACAAAACGGCCACTACTATAGAACGTTATCCTCAATGCTCCCACTATAAATTGATGTGTTATGATATGAATGAGCACATAAGCAACAGTTAAATCCTAGAAAAAAGTTTAAATCTATCCATTACACAAATCAAAACCGATCTGTAAAATTTACCTTTGTCAATATGCAGAAGTTTAATTTTTACATTTTTTTAGACCTTGCAATAATTCACCTTAAATTGCAATCGATCTTCTACTCTGTATCCAAGATTGAAGGATTTTGTTGATTTACGTGATTGTCAAGTTTCCTAACAGTATAAGAGAATTGATAATCAAAGCTTGGTTGTTAAGAGTTTTTGCCAACAGAGTAAAAAGTTTGCAATTTTTCAAAATTCCTTTGAAAAGCGATTTATTGCGTTCTTCATTCTGATTTAATTTGAATGAAAATTTTTAACACGGATTATCAAAAGAGTTTATAAAGAAACTATGGGGTTTTTCGGGTTTTTAGGCCATCATGGAAAGATATTTTTCCTCGCGTTTTGCAAATGCGAGCTACGCCAAGCCAACTACCTTTGAGGATGTAAACGGTCGGGAATCAATTATTTTCCATGACGGATTAAAACCCCGAAAAAATTACCGGTGTGTTAGTTCAGATTCTATACGTTTCACTTTGCTGATTATCAATTTATCTCTTAACAATTAAGCCAAAGCGCCTCCGAAGAAAAAGCTTAACCATCTTTATGAAATAGAAATATAGATTCTGATTTACAAATTTCCAAATTGCTTTTTAGGAAGTTTTCTGTCTTGTTCTAACACTACCAGAAATATCCATTGAATTACTGATGGCCAAAGTTTTAATACACTTTCGTTTAAAATCGGATCAAATTGAATTCTCTATGGCAGTTCCCTAATAACTTATTTGTATGAAATGAAACTCGATAAATGGCAAATTAATAAGCCCTTTGTTAATTCGCTGCGAGTTAACAAACCGTTAAATATGCTTTCAATCCCGAATGAGCCAAATTACCCTAAAATTCCGTTTGGAAGTAAAGGTAATGCTTAAGTGGAAAGAACTTATCAATCATTAAAATCCCATCAATCAAATGTAAAGTGGGCAATATTTTCACTTATCGTCTGTTTGAAAGTTATTTTGGTAGGTAAGGGTTTCTAGCTGATGCCTTAATGTGCTTTAAGATACCGTGGAGTTGAGACGTTACAGATTAGCGTAGCTTCATGGATTGTTGGTAACTGATATATCAATTTATCCATTACTTTTGTTAATGTGACACGTGGAATAAATAATGGTTTATTGCGCTCCAGGAAGTTCAACATTTCAAGGAGACGCGAACTTCAAACACGTGTGGAAAAGCACATACGGCTTAAAAGCAGCTCAAATTTCAATTCAGTATCAGAGAAATACTATAGTAGATTTATCTTGTCAGATCTCATTGATGAATTTATTCTCGCAAGGTTCAAGGAGATGAAATATATGTTTTACATAAAGCAAACATAAACTCTTTCGTACGGGATACCTTATTTTTCGATGATTTGAATGAATGTGCAAAAAAATTAATCGCCATTGTCTATATGAAACTAGCTTTTAGTTTTTCGCCAGTTAATAAAGCGGGGACAATTTTATAGGACAATATATAGTTGAAAGAGCATTTACATAAAGCTGACTGGCAATTCACTTTAAAAATACGAGAGGAGTGTGTTTCTGACCAAATAAACCCGTTTAGCAATTAACATAACGTTCCACTTAGCTTGATGGAAGTCCTTCTCAATGGAAAGCTTTCCAGGTCCATTTCATTTCCGGTTATAATTTAAATAAATGCCAAAGTTAGTTTTATGCCTCTGTTAAGGCGAGAATTTCCAAAGCTTTAAACATTTTTTCCAAAGGTTCCTGCGAATGAATTAATTCCTTCTCAGTTGTGACATTGTTACATTGTAATTCGACATACTGACTGAATGTTTTTTGATGCGAGTTTAAATAAATTGTAATGAGCAACAATGAAAAATCGATCCTTTACCTTGATAAAATAAGTAAATCACATTTCAAGGTACGAAATTCAAAGCTCATGAATTGTTAAATTGTGTCAGTATTCACAAAATTTAAATATTCCCAATAAGGCGCAGTTCAGTTGTGTTTCAAATCCCCTCGATTCCGTTCGTACTGTGAGCATAGAAAGTTTAATTGCATTCTAAAGTTGGTAAGAAAACTGTGAGAAATCATATTGCTTTTATAATTTTACTTATCAAAGTTTTGAAATATGCTGATAAATTTTATTCGAAACCAATCGTCCTATCCAGATGTGCAAGTTAGCAGAAAAATTTTCAATTAAGTTCGGAATTGTTTTCTAACTTGTATTAAAAGTGTTAAGTAAATCATTGCGTATTTAGTATGTTGCAGTTCTAAATGGCAAATAAATAAATCTAGAATGCCCATTCGATTAAGGAAACCAGGACTATCTGGTCATTGAACGAAAGTACTTTACATACTCTTGATACTAATAATCTGAATATCTCATAGGTGGTTCAAATCTAGGTTCTACCCCATATTTAAATATCAAAATTAGGTAATATTTGCTCAAACATCGATAAGAGCCTGCAGCGGCGTAGATACAGATTTCCATTGTATCAAAATATATAAGCTTTTAAGCTTAATTTGGGGTTTTTGATTTACCTTTTTAACCTTCTTCTTTGTCGAGTTTTTCAATATAAAATTAAAATTGAGCTATATTAACTCTGGATCTTGATGATGGAAAGTCGTTTTCTCATCAAGCTCGCTACTAATTTAACTTGGTAATGTAAAGAGCACTTTGTGATATTTCAGGTTGAAGCTTGTTTTAAGCCCCATACGTGTACAATAAAGTGCATTTTAAATGTTATTTTCATCTGCAACAGTTTCGTATTTAAACATCTGCACTTTTTATGAGTTTTGAGTTTATTTTGAAATAAGCCTCTAGTTTGCAAACAATATACTTAGTCCACTTGACGGGTACCATTGGAGAAGATTTCTTCAACATGAAAGCAGCAGCTTTTTTCTTGAAGTTATTTTCGGCTAATTTTAGATAACTGTTTGCAGCTTTTACAAAAAGCAGGGGTGTCGAAGTTTGAAGTTGCAGACCCACGGCTACGCTCCTGAGGATTTCTATTAGAGACATCCCCAAAGAAAAGTGAGCAAACAAACGGACAGCCAAATACGGTTAATGTCAGTCTCGTTTGAACTCAAGAGATTTCAAAATTAAGTGATCGAATTGGTTTCCTACATGATCAGCAATGCGTTATCTAGTTCTGTTGCTAGCGACGTGGCCAGTTTTATGCCAAGGTAAGTCTCTCAGCACTCGTATCATTAAGTAAAAGCCCCAAACTGGAAATTGTTTATTTGGATAAAGACGCTGGTCGTTGGCAAACAACGATTTTATCGGATATTTCAAGGACTTACTTCAATTATGGCTCTTATTATAAGCAAAGAGCGTTAAGCCATCAAAAGCATAAAATGATGTTGAAATTTGCTTTTAAAACAAAAACACGAAAAATGAACGACGTATTTTCAATGCCGTTGGTTTAGAGAATAATAAAATTGTGTCGCCTTTAATTTTCTAAGAAAAAACGCTTATGCGGAAATTTAATTTTCAGGTTTAAGTGGGATTAATCGCTATACAAATTATGTAAAAATTGTTGGGTAATTAAGTGTTGGGCTGTTTTATAAACTGAAATTTTTCCACATGAAATTTGCTTTGAAAACTCCAGTATTCTGGCAAAAGCCCCAAAACAGGGGCTTAAATATATTGCTATTATATATACCTGATATTTCTTGCGACATAATTCGTAATTTAATTTAGCTGGACGAATTATTATTAGTGAATATTGGCCCTGATTATTAGCTGGAAACCTGTAAATTTCTACCAACTTTCGATTTTCTACTAAAAAGGCCTTAATTAGTAAATCTCCCTACTAAATATGCCAACCTTTTATAAACCCTAAAATTAAGTGTCACATAAAGATCAAATTACCTTTCAAAATAAATTAAGCAGAAATTGCTATTTTTAATATTTCGCGGATCGTATTTCGGGACGTGACTGGGGAAAATATGAACAAAATTTAAAGATGGAAATTAAAATGAATTTTCCAGGAAAACCTTTCGTGTTATCCAGATTATTAGATTATCCTGAAAAGCTCATATATCACCACCAGAAAATGTTTCTACCGTATGATACCTCCTCTTCCATAAATATTATTAATGAATCGCTCAAAATAGGTATCCTAAATATCCCAGCCATTTGGCCCTATTTATGTCAGATTAAGTACAGTTATCTCGGATTTGTGTTCTGTTAATTCGGAAATTATGTTTATTTCTTCGCGACATTGGACTCTTTTGACCTGATGAACAGTTACTTTTAAAAGAATTAAAACACGCAACTTTAATACTCTGATATTTATATATTTCTCTATTTCTTTTCCCTAATTGTTTTCGTTTATAATAAATACTAAAAACCACTTAAAAGCACAGAAACTTAAGGTTTGAATAATTCCCACCTCAAACATCAATTCAATAAATTTGACTTTAAAATATTCTTCAAATGTTATCCATTGACATTTCTACTCAATAAAGAACCAGATTGACTCTCGAAAGCAATTTAGCCAACAATATTTTTGGATAATTTATGTAGCGTAATCGATGGTGACCTATGAGTTCCTGCATATATGCATATATAATATCATTGTTTAAATCAGTTACCGATAATTCACGTTTCAATAATAAGTGGCACTCTTTGATTTGGGAAAAACCAGGATTGTTTTCCAATCCATTCATATAAAACGTTTTGCCATCGTTCAAGAACATGTTGAATTATTGGTCAATACCTGATGTAAAATTACTATCCTTTACTAGATTCTAGATCTCCGTCCCTTCTGACGTGCATAATGTGGGCAATAAAGCCAATAGTTAGTTATTTCAGAAAAATTAGAAGTTTTGCACTTGTACATTTGATATATCCAAATAGGCCAAGGCTATTTTTCAACGTAATTACCGACCATGAAATTAATTAAATCAGGGCAATTAGCATAATTCGAATTGAGTTCCTTGATCCAAACACTTAACTATCTATCAATTTGGGCGCTGTGAATAAATACAGATTTTAATCCAAATTTTTGACGGTTATGTAAAGAGTATCTCCAATTTCAGCATAACAACGTTTGTGGATTTCATAAAATTATTCAAAAGTAACAGGACATTTATTTATTTTATTTAATTATAATTAATTCACCCTTCACAAATATTATCGGCTATACTTTGAATCGCATTTATTCACTACTTCATATAATTCCCTTTACGTAAACTATACGTGTTTTGCACAACGGTATTTATATATTTTTGTGGCTGAATGAATGATATTCAAAATATGTATATAATTCACTCAACATTTTGCACTTTAAATGAAATAACAAGCGCCATGGTTTCCAGTTTCGATTTACAATATTGCGAATCCTACAATTTCAAAACACTCAAACTAACTACCAATTAAACAGTGGAAAGTGCTGTTTACATATTGACTTTTTTGACACCAGAAAGTTTGCGTTTTTCATTCTGATTGGAAGCATTCAGAACAGCGTTGAAAATGTACGTCTTTCAAAGTTTAATTAAAAGTGCTCCCAAATAAAATTAAAACACGCTTAGCCATATATTTGAAATACGATCAATACGTTGTAATATTGCAGATATGAAATTATTTATGTTTTATTATTTTGGGTAGTAGTTGTTTATTTGCAAACTCTGATTTATCGTCATTCTATTTAATTACTAGCTGCGTGGTTGAGTTTTTCCGATTTCGGTTTTCAGAGATCGACAACTAATTTATACCTGACAGCATTAGAAAAAAAACGGTTATAAATTCAGCTTAAAAGAAGGCGATATTTGTGCTTCTGACATCCGTCTTGCCCAATTCCGCGATTGCTAGATCTCCAAATGGCAATTATTGAAGTGGTCTAAACCGTTAGCGGAAGCAATCGATATATGAACCAATATAAATTTGGCTTCGCCGAAAAGTCTGACCCTTTCTTATCGCATATATCCCTTTTAGTAAGCAAGTAATGCACTTTATAGACCGGAAATATCATCGTTCAACTCAGCTGGAAAACCCCAATTTTTCGGGTTACACCTCGAAAAATTGGCCTCTAGAATCACTTGATTGAATACATGTTCAAACTTATTTGCTGATATTTTCTCTTAACGAACGGGGAGCAAAACATAAATGAAGAATTAATTTTCTACGATGTGTTAACGAGATAATGTCATCGTTCCAGGATTTAACTTGCAGACTCGAAAGCTTTGCTGCAGTCTTGGAACAAATTATTCAACGAATGGCCAGGAATGCAAACAATTCCAACCCCCAATTCCAGGTGTTGCTGCGCCAGATGAAAGGGCCTGCATAAATACAATCGATATCTGTTGCAAAAAAGAACTGCGGTAAGTACGAGGAAGAAAATTGATTGAAAAATCATTTGAAAAGCCCACTATTTTGTGCTCTAAAGCTCTACCAAATATCGATTAAGGGTGGCTTTCAACTGGATATCCGGCAAAACAAACATTCGAATTTCTTTACAATGGAAAGCATTAAGAGATTGTGTATTTAAGCAACAAAGACCAATATTTCAGTCACATTTATTTAAAATTTTCCCGCAATGGCCGCAAAAGATAAACTAACTCTTTTGATATACTGAGTAAACAGGTGAGTTTTTCGGGCTTTTAGGCCGTCGTTGAAAATAATTCGTTTTTGACGATTCGTAAGCACGAGTGGCGTTGAATAACGTTTTAGGTTGCATTCGGACTCGATCTTGCGAAACGTCTTTTAAATTAAAGAAATAATTATTTTCCACGGCGCCCTAAAAGTATGAAAAACTGACCAGTGACCAGTGATGTTTGATAAAAACACTCGCAAGAGCTGGGAAAGGGTTGTGCTAAAACTAGCTCAGATCCGGGGTTGTTTTGGTCAATTTTGGAAAACAGTAATTTTCTAGCTGAAGACTCTCATCAACTGTTGGCGGGTGAATGTATGAAATACAGTGGCTGAAAATATTAATCCGCTAAACCAATCCTGTAATTATCGAGATGGGTAATGAGGACCAAATTAACTCGATGAATGCATCATTGATCTCTTTTCTCCTGCAACCTCTAATTTATTCAAAATTTCCTTCCTCGTGGAGCTTGTTTCGCGTTAGGAAAATGTTGATTATAATTTTATTGCGGATGTTGGTAGAATAACAAACATAATAACCAGATTTTATGAATTGTATTGTGACTTACTTCACTGTATTTTTTGTAGCAATTATTTGCATTAATCAAGGAATTCAGTCACTTTATGGAATTTCGCAATTTTCGAAATGCTTACGAAAGCATTTCAATTTGAATAATTCGTCAATGTAAAGCAGCGACACGCAGATTTTGTTTTCCATTTAATGGATTAATAAGGAAAGGTTATAAAAAACTTCAAACAAATGAATTATTCGAAGAAAGCCCCACATTCCAACAGAGATAATCTTACGCCTGGCACTGATTGACTCAGTAAAATGCCTAAACTCGAAAAGATAGCATCCGATTAAACGATTTAGGCATTATTTGCATAACCCCAGTGAAAGTAAATAAGGAATAGTAGATATGATAAATGTGTAAAAACATTAATCATAATATTTGCTTTTAAGCAGTTCCCGAAGAGGAGAGATAGACACCTCATAAATTATTATGTATCTTGGTGACAAATGGTTTCCATCTCCATGTATACTTTTATAGCGATTAAAATTCGGGCAATCATTTTATCGCCTCTTTCGAGGATCCTTTATTCCGAATTGATATAAAAAGATAAATCAGTTTTTTGAACATCAAGAGCGACTAATCTAAGCCAGTAGCTTAGCAATAATCAAATGGTACATTTGTCTCTGTCCAGACCATACCATTTCAAGCTGATGATCCGAACATAAATTACCTGGCGCGCAACTTGGCGAATTAAGATATTTTAGTTATCAAGCAGCTAAGTTATACATTAAGTTCCTTAAAGCACCAGGCACATCCCGAGCCAGTATTAATCACGAAAATCAAGCCACAGGTAACAAATGTTGATTCAACAAATGCAACGATATTTATTGCAGTGCTTTGAGACAAATTGTTGGCAAGGATTATGCAACGTATAAATTACAGAAGCAGTTTCTTAATAGAAAGGATTTTAGAGCAGACTAAATTTAACAAAAGGTTGCTGGATGTTTACACTTTGCCAAATATTATTATGAAGGAAAGTAAAGCACTTAATTCAATTTACACTAATCTATTCCATTATTTCAGTATCTAAGCAATGAGCAAAGATGAAATGTATTCCGAGCTCTTCGCATTCACCTCGATTTATTCAAATATCGCAAATGGTGCAAATTGAGGATTTTAAATCCCTAATTGCTTTTAGCGCTGCGTTTGCTCAGATTCGCTCGTTAACATAATACCAAAAAGCAAACGGGCCTTAGAACACTAATACTATAAACCACTGAATACAGTTGAGAGGATTGGAAATTCCTCGCAGTATTGAATCTATTCTAATGGTCTACGTTTTATCACAGTGACTTGATATTAGCTACAAGAGCTTTAAGATAAATATTGAGAGTAGTCTCTAGTGAAATAGGAGCCTATATACCTAAGCGTTTATGGGTTGGAATAGTATTATTTGGGGAGAAATTGGGTATCTCTTGAGGGAAAAGATAACAATTTAGTCAATACACTTTACCCATTGAGAAAATCCGAATTATGTAGGTGCTTAAACGTTGCTGCCGTGAATAGGGTACCATAATAACCAATAACCAATTAATAGAAAAATATAGATTTACATCACTCGTATTCGCATCGAACTAAAAGACATATCGGATGTCCCAGCAAGGGCGGATCCAGGAGGGTCATGATCACCTTGTCTATGTCGACTAACGTTAATTTTTCTAATTTCAACAACAAAAACTGAATTTTTACTACATAACACCCCCCCTGACTTGGAAATTAGATCCTTAACTTGAAAGCTGGATCCGCCGCCGCTGAATGTATGATATTCAAATTTTGCTTTCTAGGCAAAACTACTCGAATTTCATTTACTCCCGTTGTTATGACTGAATCGAATTTTCAATTCTCTATCCAACGATGCTAAAACGAATTATGTGGCTCAAATGGAGCTTGAGAAACTTCGAAAACGGTAGCGTCATGTTTGAGTTGATTTTGCAACTCAAAAAAAACCACGCAAATCTATAACTTCTTGAACTCGAGACTTTTTTGAGAAAACTGCCMACATTTCCTTATCAATGGTTCACTTTTTAAAAAGGCTATTTGGTCATCTCTGGAATGATCTAAAAATGAGCGTTCTTGCTCAKKWWGCTTCCGAGAAATGAGCAAAAACAGGACGAAAAACATGAAATTTTCGCATAAWCTTGCACCAAACAWAAGTGTCTGATATTCAAATTTCGCTTTCTGGGTCAAAACTACTAAATTTCCTCACTGATGTTGTTATGWCTGAATCGATAATGTCATGTCATGACCAACTATGTCATCATRGTTGTCATGGSGGTCATGACCCCCCTCTGACTTGAACGCTGAATTCGCCCCTGTGTCTTAGTTAWTTTTTTATCGGTTTTTMTCGGTTAATTTTTTATCGCATGGACCAGAAAGAATTCTGGTCYATGCGGAAAGAAAMTAAGTACTAAAATAACAAAAGAAGTTCCAAATAACGACTTCCTCTAATTCAATCGCACTGTTAGTCGTTGATAAACGCATTTTATTGCAACTAAACTTTGGCTTTTAAAATGCAAGACCATCTTTGGTTGAAATTCATTTCTAATATTCCCGAACGTAAGAGTTTTATAAAGTATTTTCGCTCACTTTATGAAACTTTATTAAAAGTTGAAACAAAACCCACTCTTGTTTTCGATACAAATATTTTCGTAATATTTTTTATATCGTCTCTGCTGCGGGCCGGCGGAATTATAAAGTAATTTCCGTTAACGTTTACCTCGTTTTCCACCCTTTTTGCCCTTTTTTCTTCTCGAATATGATTAATTAAGGGTGAAAGTCTTGAAGGGAAGAATTTAAGGTGTTCGTTTGAATGCCGTGTTTTAATGGCAGTAAGAATATTTAAACCAATTAAACAATTTCAGTAATGTGCCCAATCGTGGCACGTGCGCTTTTTACTTCTTTGCTATCAACCCTTCTTGCAAATCTCAGCGTTTTAAAAGTAGATTGATAAGCAATGTATAATAATTTAAATATCGCATTGTTAATATACATTATTCGTCAGCTGCCGTTTCTGTAACCAATTTGTTTCAGGACCTTTCACAGATACAGTCGTTCCTGGCAAATATAACTTGAGCGTTTTTGAGGTTGCATTTTGCGAATGTTCTAAAATTAAATTCAACGTTCTGAGAAATATTGAATAACAATGGATGTCCGCCAATCGTTTATATCTGTAGCGAAATGCTCTAAACCGACAAAATAAAATGTGTATGGAGCTTTTACCCTATGTCGATTGCGGGTTAATTAATAATTGGCAAACCGGACGCTCACAAGCTTTTCCAATTATTTTTTAAATAATTATTTAGCATCAGAGTAAAATGTCAACTACCACACGCGGGGAGAGTGTTTTAAATAGGCAAGAAACTACATTATATTACTTATTATATTATGGGTTTGTGGCGAAAGTATTGGGTTGGCGACAAAGTATTTTCGGCTTTTTCGTGTGAAATAACAATAAATTTAACTCTCATAATACAGGCCCATCATTCGTTCATCGAAATTCGATCTAGAGCGAGTGATTTGTCGATTTGKAAATTTTGATGATTTGYWACAAAACGTACGATTTTCTTTAAAAACTTCATCTCTAAAAAATSCAATCGGTTGAAAAACTTGGAAGTTATGATGATTTGAAGGTTGAAAAGACGATTTGCCGAACTAAATACTGTGAATTTTTTTTTGAACATTTTCAAAATACATCAGATTGTTTGCAAATTGCATTCTCGACACATTCTGTCAGAAATTTTGTATTTGCATCAGATTGAATTTAAATGGGCTCTGAATATTGGCAAGCGTAAAACTCTCAAACTTCCGTGCCTTACGCTGTAACTCGGTCAGTTTTTTTGTCATATTTTGCAGAAATTCGAAAACTCTTAAAATGCCCATAAACTTGGCGTGAAAATACTGGTTCACGGCCAAAGTTCAYTTTGGTCACCGTTTCAGCGCCAGGGGAGTTTGGATTAGTTTTAAATTTCCAAAGATCTGAAGCGCTAAAAGTTTTGTTAAAAGTTTGGCGACGCACCAAGATCTTTTAACTCAAAAATTCATTTTTAGGAAATAGTCAATGGTTTACAAAAAATGTTTGCAATAATTTTAATGTTCTATTATTTACTTTAATAAATTATCGTAATAAGGATAGAGGTACTATCCTTATTACGATAATTTTTTAAAGTAAAGATATTTTTGTTCCGCTGTTAAAGTTTCGAAACCCTAAGAACAAGCTGTAAAAACGATTCCAGCCTCAAATTGGATAGCGGCAACAGCAGGGAGTAAAACGAGTTCGACTTCAGAGTGTGCAAATATACATTTTATTGAATCATATAAATTAAATTAGATGTTCCAAGATTGATGTTTGCAAGTTTTTTTTGTTCTTTTGCGTCGTAAACACCCCATTTCTCGTTCCCACTTATTATGGCGCTTTCAAAATGGATCGCTTCTTTGAGGTTCGTGGAGAAAAAAACTTGAGACTTCTTGATTGAGCTTTCAGATCAAACCTAGGCGTTTCAAATAATCACGCTCGAGTTCGATAAATTTAATTTCTAAATGTAAATCTCTCTAAAGCGATTTCACGAGTGGTTATTCGCCGGTTTGCATCAATTAATGCTCTGATTGTGTTTTCGTCAGATTAATGTGGCCTTCCGGGACGTGGTCCATCTTCAATATCAACATTTCGGAATTGAATTTTGCAAGCCTGTTTTGGCACTGACGTTCTCTCAATACATCGTCTCCATTCACAACGCATAACTTTTTCTTGGTTGACCAGTATTTTCACCTTGTTGATGGTAAAAATTCTCAAAATGGGCACACAGTTTGAAAGGGTTTACGACGAAAATCGCCTTGTAGAGTTAATCAGTTAGAATTAAGTTAATCCAATGATTTGGCGGCTTCAATGGCTAGATGAAAAAATTAAATCAACTATCCAAGCAACCTAATACTTGAGTCTCATCAATTTAATTTCAGAGCTCTTCAGTGTAACTTGGGCATTGATGATGCAAAATCTGGCGCTTGTGTCCAACAGATTGGCGATAGAGCGGTAAGATTCGAAAAAAATCTAGTGTTACTTAAGAGAACAAACAACAATCTCCTTAGGATTGCTGTGATGCTTGTCAGCTGGGGATTGAAGCCAAGAAAGCCGGAGATGAATGCGTTGATGTGCTGGGACTAGGATCTCCGTCTTCCGAAGCACTTACCAAATGTTGCGAAGAATTCGTTGTGGAAAATCAGCCAATTGCACCGATTGCCAGCACCACACTCAAGCCGTTTCCTGGATTAGAGCCGACTGTTTCAGCTGAGAGTTTAAAATATTCAAAAGCTGATGATGAGGTCTATCCAGGTGAGTTTAAATATATTTTTACGGAAAATCAAAATATTTTGAGACAGCCCAAATCTGATGTTTTATGAATGACTCAACTGATCCTCGAGACTTATTGAGAGCCAATATTCTCGTTGGGAAATTCGAATTATAAATATTTCTTGAATGGGAATGGAACTAGGGCGCACCCAATAAACTGCATTAGCTTCGTTTTTCTTTTTTATTGCTGCTCCTGATGGAATGCCAGTGCGTGCGGGATAAAGTGCTGTTCGTATGATTTTTTTATTATGTATCAAATTTACGGACTGGCACACTTGCAAAAGCTGCTGTCGAAAAAGCTGCCAGCCGACATTACATTCACTTTATTAGCAGGCTGAACAAAATATAATGGACTGACCTCGTTCAGAATTTATTGACTACAACCTAGCGCAAGAAAGATGGGATGCGAATGGCGCTAATGGAACACAAAAAGCACCCTGCTTATATTTGCTATATGGAATAAACGTGCCAGATCCCTAGTTTTTTCGACTTCTGATAAGTTTTAGACTTACGCAGCGTTATTGACCGAAAACCTGAACAAAGTTGGCTGCGACATTAAATCCACATTTCCAAAATCCCCGATGAATCTAAGAAAACCCAATCAAAATCAATTTAGGACTGAAATTTTGGAATAAAATCCGGACATTTCCATGCAAAATGTCTTTCTACTTAACCCAAATGGCGATTTCATTACGGCGAAAAGAACTCGCCGGAACGGATTCCCTATAAAGAGCTTACATATTGATAAAGTTAAATCGTAAAACGTTTCAATTCCTTGTCTCACTTTGCAATAATCATCAGCATGAAAATATCCGAAATTTTGGAACTTTTAAATTTATTTCTGCATTGAATGTAGTTCCACAGCTTCGTTAAATCTGATCAAGATCTTTTAGACTTGCAGTGACCTTTCCGTCTGTTAAAGTCCAAAAACATTTCTATCAAGTGGACCCAGCCCGGAAGCTAATTTTGCTCAAACGAAGGAGATAATACTTGTCTGACATCTGCACAGCATAAAATTTTTCAATAGAGCGCGTACACAAAAAAATATTTAAGAAATTAATGAAAACTGTTTTTATATACGATTTTTGGTTTGAGATAAAGTTGATTTCAAGAAAATTTCGAATAATCGTTAGAGTTAATGCTTCATTCCAAGTGAAAGTCCAATTAACTATAGTTAAGAGAAATTTTAAAAATTTGATACTATACGGAAGTAATTGCGAGAAAGCGATTTAAACTATTTTCAAGATCGCCACACTTTGGTTGATACCGGAAGTAGGTATCAGCTTGCTTATTTTAAATGGAACACCCTGTATATTGTTACCTTTTTTAATTCTTCTCCAAATTATAAATACATTTCATGTATGTTTTTCCATACGTAAGTCTAACTGTTTCTGGTATATTCGAAAATTTGTATAAGAAATGTCAGCTGCAGGTATTAGAATAATTTTAAATTTTTTCGAAGCAAGTTTGTTTTATTTAATTTGAGTTGCATATTGATACTGAGTGGTAAACAATAAATTTCAAAATTAAATTGAGGAAACCGCCCAAAATCATTTTTTTTAAATGGAAACTCAAATGAAATTTTGATAATTTTCTCTTTTTTAGTATAAAAAATAAGGGTAATTTTGGGTAAGGTTGTGTATTGAAAAAGTGTTTAGCTTTCCCAATATTGTTAATTTAATGTTTTATATGTCCTTTTAATCCGAATTAACTGATAATAGCTATAATTAAATAATAACAATTTACTTATAATTTTATAAGTTACTGCACTAATAACCATGGCAGCTGAGAATTGACTAGAGAAATAGGAAAAACGTTAAGTAGACAATATTTCGAGAACTTATCATGTTTGGCATAGACAACCTTAGTCGAACTTGCCCTTATTTTAATACCAATACCGAAGATAAAATTATCAAAATTGGGGGTTTCTACTTGAAGAAATTAATTTCAGGCGGTTTTCTCAATTTCCATATATAGACCATAAAGTGGACACCCTGTATAAAACTTTTCAGTGATGCTCAATGATTGTTCATTGAGCATCACTCATCATTGAGCGTATCGTTCTTGAGAAATGCGAAGAGAATTAAGAAAACATATCAGTTGGGGATTTTATTTTGATTTTTGGACATTTTTTGTCAAACCATTTGCTCAATAAATGCGAACATTTTTCTTCAAAAGAATATATTTGTATCAGTGCCATCAAAACCAATTTCCCTGTTTCATAAATTCTATAATACTTAAAGATGCAATTAGAACATGAGTAAAATATGGGACAATATTTCATTTTTATGATTTTCAGGTCTGTCAGAGGAAAACGTTTGCGAAACCGGAGAATTTTGTGCCCAGCTGTGTCTGCCGTCGGGAAAAACTTTTAAATGCAGTTGTTTCCCAGGCTACCAGCTTATGAAAGACGAAGTGTCATGCAAGCCCATTAAACGTGCGAAAGGGAGTAGGTAAGAAAGCAAAACAACTAAAATCGCAACATTTTAGCCAGTTTGTTCCATGTGCCGTGCTTTAAGTTAATATCAAATTTCGCCATACTTCTGAAGCCACTTGGAAATTACCATAATTAATCACTGAGAGTTGTGAAAGCTACATTTTGCGTATAATGTAATTATTTCGGCAATAAAATCGAATAGATTTTCGAAGAAGTTTCCATGTCAAGATTAATTTTCTCCGCAGCAAGATGTTAAATAACGGAAGGTGACTTGAGAACTAGCTCATATTCTCTTCTCTCCGGCATGAGAACGACGTTTTTCTCATTTCACGCGATTCCCCTTGTTCTGAAATGCTTTGCGCAAAGTACTAGAATACTAATTGTTGAGCAGCCCCTTTATAGGACTAATTCTCACTGTATGTTCGCTGTTTATGTTCCTATCATAAAATGTAAGTCCGGATTAAACAAACCTGCTCTAACCTCGTAAATAAAAGGGATGTTCTTTTCCTCAATGCAGAATTAGCAAGGACGGGTTGTCCTACAAACATATCGAGCAAACCACCAGGGGGAAGTAAGTTACATAATTAATTGTGGGCCAGATTACCTTCCGTGTCTGTCCGATGATTTACTGCTGGGAAATTGAAATAGATTTGAAGGAAATCTGTCGAGAAATATCGCTTAAATTAAACATTTTTGCTCTAATTAATAAACAAGGTATGGAGATTAAGAATAAATTAACGGATGGCTTCCCGGTAAGGAATTGAAGCTCGAATTCAGTCCCCTATAGCGAATTTAGCAATAATCACCTGAACAGCCTGTGAAGGATGAGGCAAAAAAAATCAATGAAACAGAGCTAAAAAACCGGATTGAATTCAATCCCCCCGTATTAGCCGCTCTTTCGGGCTAAAAAGCGGCGAAAACCCCAAAAAGAAACGCGATTGTGCCCCTAAAACTCCAAGAGTATTTGCGCAACCACTTTTATTATCAACAGGGAAATTTTATAGAGGTGTGCACGCGTAAAAGATTACAGAAAATGTTGCAAAATTGATACCTTGAGGAGCTTCTAATTTACGTTTCATCCTAAATTTACAATTTTTAGCAGTAGGCCTTTAAATTCGAGAATAAAAATGAATTAAATATAAAATCAGAATTACTTCACTGCCTGTTGCCAAAATTGTTTACAAAGGGTGGTCTGAAAATACGTTACCATTAATTTTTTCTCATCAAATAATATGTTGTATTTAATGCATACAGTTCGAACAATTAATATAACTAGCCTTAAATAAGCAAATCGTTTGTGGTTGTATTTGAAGCTGAAGATACAAGCCACTCGTGCTTGCGCAACGTCAGAAAGAAATTATTTTCTACGAAGGCCTCAAAACCTGAAGAGCACAACAGCTTCAATTTTGTTGAATTTGTTAGAATTCGCTTCTAGGAAAACTAAATCAATTGAATTCGAAAAAAACTCGGGCGACGCTGCCTCACTGTATAAGGAACTTTATAAATAACGTCCAAAGAAGTAATTCGTACATTTGCATTTTTTAGGTGTGAACAAAACAATCCATGCGATCATGACTGTATCGATACAGGCATTTCAATTGAATGTTCCTGTAGAAAGGGCTATAAACTAGATGCAGACAATAAATCCTGCAAGGGTAAGTTAACATTTCCTTTTAGCTATCCCAGTTAGATAAATCTATGTACTATGAGTGGATAAAAGTCCTAAATCATGCAATTTAATTTTCAAATACATTCCGCTTCTGATGCAAAACATATTTTTAACATATGTGCAGGAAAATACTGACAGTAAATTTTCCACCATGGTATTCATGCAAAAGAATAGCGGACGTATTATGCAATGACAGGTTATCAATGTAAATGTAATATTTTTCCACAATGCTTGCTACAGACAATTCGGGTTTTTAAATCAGGAAATTCTTATTTGATTTATAGTTTTAAAACTGATGAAAAAACCGGCGCATTTTTCCTTTCCATTTTCAATTAATGAGTTCACGCAATTAATGAAACTATTTGAAAGGCAATAGGTAGTCATCTGTAGTTCTTTCACTGTATGAATATATATTTATCTGTCACAGATTCGAAGAAACTCCAAGGAAGTAAAAAATATGTTAATTTATCATGATATTCACATATTCTGCGAAGGTAAAACACATTTAAGCAACCAACGCCAACAGGAATATTCAATGCCGCCCTGTGGATGATTGACTAGTTTTATCGCAAATCACTCAATCCTACATTCCACATATCACTTTTTGTATAACGCCCACTATTCGTATGAATATATCGCATTATAAATCCTACTTTAGAGCTCTTAGATTGAATAAAGTTACACCGATCTCTTATAAGGTCACACATAACAGTTGAAATAAAATCTGCGAAACGGCAGGAACCAAAATGTTTTCAAAATTTTATGTAGGCTACACCCTTGGCGTTCTTTACCTGGATCAAATATTTATTAGCGAATGATATCCCGCTACTATATCATTCTTGAAGACTTTTAGACACATTTGAAACGGTATTATACAACGAATCTGAAGAAACTTTTTGATTAACAAAAGTTTCGTTGAAAGTTTGCGGATATTTATTTGGAAGTGTGCTGCTGGAGCGAGGCACCAACATTCAAATTAGAAATGGCATTGTTTTGACAAGTTAAAGCAAGAGGAGTTTCAGTTCGGCAACTGGAAATTAAATATTAAATTACAGCTGTAGGCACAAATGTGGAGAGTGAAAATCTGATATACAATACAATAGTGAAAGTATTGATCCAGAATGATGCCTTAAATGGGAGAAATATTTAGAACAAAAGAATGATTGAGCGGAAATTCACAACTATTATACTGAGAAAGGCGTAAAGCTTTATCAGTTTTCTGTAGAAAGTCTAGCAGATATGGATAAGGGTCACAATTTTTTTCTTCGCTGAATTTCTCAGAAAGAAAACTTTGAAGCAAATCACTCGCTTTCTATTCAGCTCAAGAATTTCCGTGCAACTTAGATTTCAAAGTTCCAGTGGCTTATTCGTCAATAATTGTTGAGAATCAACTAAACTTTCGGGATTTGTTGACATATTGTCTAGCCAAAGCTAGTGCGTTTCGGGCAAAGTTGTCTTATCCGAAAATTCATATTTTTCCAGGCACAGGGTGTAAAAATGATTTTCGCTTTTTTAAACAGAGTCTTAACCAGTTTTACTATTTCGAAAAATAAACTAATATTTGACGGATTTTTAAATCCAGAAATCTAAATTTCCTATTCCTCGCTAAATTTCTATAGTACTTGACCTGCAGTGGTCTGGAGCCATTTGAAACATCTGAAATTGTTCGGACTGTTTTGTTGGAAATTTATGGTTCCCGATATTTCTTAAACAAAATATATGTACTTGGTTCAAGGCGGTATCTCTCACCGTTTCGAAATATTTCACATTGAAACTTCTAGTGATTTTTTACTCAGCAAAGTCGTTGAAATTCCTTATTATTAAGAGGAATTAAGAAAAATGGTTCAAACTGAACTCTTCTGATTTAAACACATACATTAATCCTTTTAATAAATTATTGCCATAGTTAAAAAAATGGTTGAGCCTGTATCTAAAGCATACTTTTTGACTTATTTTCCTGCCTGCGTGTAATTGTTATTATATTTTTTCTTTCCTGGGTTTCAGTCAAAATGTGAAATAAAAATGTTCATATCGTTTATTTCATATAACGTTGCGACGAGACAACAGCGCCATCATCAGATTTAAAATTCAACACACATTTTGACTGAAACCCTGGAAAGAAAAAAGCTCAAACTTACAACATAATGTAAATGAAGCATAAACTAATCAAACTGGAGTTCTAAGGACTGAAATTTCAACTTTCCAGCACTACATCGAATTACAACTGCAAGTTCAGTTTGCATTAATATTTAAACATTTTTCGTATTATTATTCAATTCTGCGCTTTTCATTAATTAGTCATTAACTTCAGATGCAAATTGGTAATAGCCGCTATTATTCGAAACGGCGCATTGCAGTGTCGCCTCCCCGGGATTCGATGAGTAAAATTTGAACTTTTGAGGCTGAATATTAATTAGCAAATTGACTTTCTCATATTTAGTACTGATGAATGGGGAAATGTTTTGTTTCAAAATATCCAAGTAAAATTTTGTTAGAACAATCATAGCAAAATAGAGTTGAATTTGGTAAATTTTTAAATGATACCTGATGTTATTCATACATGTACGTACCTTCTCCCGGCCGACTCTAAAACGGCATATTCAATTTATTTCCTTCCCCGAATTTTTCGATTCAAATATATTTTCGTTGACTTGGGAAATCCTCTTACTTATTTGATGCTCGCCAATATTTCGAAGCTTCAAAGACAATCGACTACTTTCAGAACTCTGGGCATTATAGAGTGCTCAAGTTCTCGGAAAATGTGGCAGCCAAAAAGGCCGAATTACACTATCCGTTATTATTTGTCAATCCTCATCGGTATATAAATAATATAATATCTTAATGGTGATATGTAAAACGTCTTTTGGTGTGCATGAAAAAAACAAAGCCTCCAATGTAGACAAGCAGCTTAAAGGTAAAAAATAGCACAGATCAACTCTCAAGAAATTTTTCTATCTAAAGACATCGAATGATTTATATCTTTATTTTTAGATTTAGATGAATGCGCTCTTGGAATCCATGACTGCGAAGCGAATGAAGAATGTGAAAACGATGAGGGCACTTACTTCTGCTTTGTCACTGAATTGGAAACCGATGAGGAAGGATTCGGCAAGTGTCCCATTGGACTCAAGTTCAATTCAGAGAAATCGGTGTGCGATGGTAAATTCAGACTTAAATCTACTTGCTAAGTTTTAAGCTGAAAAGCCGCCGTTTGGTTGACAACATTTTTACTGAAAACTAGACGACTTGAAGAGGAAACTCGAAGCAAAGTGTTTTATAATGAGCAATATTCTTTATTGGCATTTCTAAAATACGATTTAAAACCCATATATTTGCAGACATCGACGAATGTGAAATGCCTTTGATCTGTAATCCCCCGAAAGTGTGTAAAAACACAATCGGCTCCTTTACATGCGAAGGGCCTGATTGCCCTCCAGGGTTTTACTTCAAAGCTTCTATAGAATCCTGTGCAGGTAAGCGCTTTTTACTTTATATTATGTTTAAAGCTATATGTATTTTTGGTGAGTTTTGTTACTTTTACGAATTTGTTTGAGTTCTGAAGGAAAAGCTGAAATTCTTTGATAATATTGTCAGTGCCCTAAATACACATTTAGCTTTTGCAACTTTTAAAGGTATCTTTTTCAAAATCTCATGGAATTTTTCTAAATATTTTTCTTTCTCCAGATATCGATGAATGTGTAACGGGAGACAACGACTGTAATAAAGATTCCCAATTGTGTGTTAATACAAAAGGAAACTACACTTGCGTAGATAAAGCATCAAGGAAAGCATGTCCCCCTGGATTTAAGAAAAACGAGTTGAGTTTGCTTTGCGAAGGTAACTGTCAACGTATAAGCTGAAAGATTAATCATAGACCAGCTGTGCTTTATCCCAAAATTTCCTGCTGGTTGGAAGTGAAATAGCGTTTCCATTTAGGCAGGGAATATACTTGAACTTTTTTATTTATGTCGAAATTTAGCGATTATATAAGAAAGTGAGCTTTTAATAATCACTTATTCTGCTAGATATCGATGAATGCGAAGGGAACTTGCAGGTGTGCCAAGCACACGAGCAATGCGTGAACGAAGAAGGTGGATATAAATGCGTGGCTTTAAAGCCATCAACTAATCAAATTAATAACAACTACCAACCGCCATCGACGACACCAAAAGCGACACCACCGCCCACATGCCCAAAGGGTTACAAATATAATTTACCCCAAAACTCTTGCGAAGGTGCGTTTCTTCACCTCTGCCAAAAATTCTTAGGTTGTTGATTGTTCTTTTTAGACATCAATGAATGTCAACTGCGATTAGATAATTGTTCTCCGATGCATCGATGTGATAATACCATAGGGTCTTTCTATTGCACCCGAACGGTTTCTTGTGGAACAGGTGATAAAAGTTTAAACTATAAAATACAAGTTGCTGAAAAAATCGATCTACAGGCTACACTTTGAACTCGGCGAATGATTTGTGTGAAGACGACGATGAATGCTCTTTGGGAACACACAATTGTTTCGGCCTGGGACCAAACTACGTGTGTAGAAACCAGATGGGGACTTACCGATGCGAAGCAACCAGGCCAGCATATCGCCCTCCACCTTCAACTACCACGACCACAACCACCACAACCACCACCACAAAATTGCCTCCTGTAACATTTCCTAGAATTACCGCACCTCCACCAACTTCCACCACCAGCAGCACCTCTACCAGCACAGCTACCAGCACCACTACCAGTACCACAACCATCCCTACAAGTACATTCAAGCCGATTCCCATTACCAACGTTTGGGGAGAACCGTTTTACAGTGGCAGCCGAAAACATTGGTGGTATCCATACCTGCCAAAGCAGACACCGTCTTACAATTTACAAAGCAGTCCCATTAGTAACGTTGTGATTAACACGCCTCCAGTCTACGAAAATCCTTTTGCCATCTACCAAAGATCGACAACTACCAGCTTACCCATTATAAATGGAATGCTTAAAAAATGCCTTCCGGGTTACAAAATGAATTCAAGGGGCGACTGCGAAGGTAAGTTCGCCACGATTTATCAAACCTTTTGAAAACAGACTGACATCCAATGAACGAGCAACAAATAGAACAAAAAAAGTTTATTATTCCGTATTTTACGACATAAATTTTACGTTTTTGTTTATGGGTTTAGACATAGATGAATGCCAAAGCAACCCGTGCCCTCGCGGGTCCAAATGCTTTAATTTCAATGGCAGATTCCAATGCAGTTCCCCTATCCATTGCAAAATCGGGTATGAACCTAACGAAACTGCAAACGAATGTATCGGTAAGTGCACGTCTATTATTGAAGCTTGCTTTATAAACAAAAAGGTATAGCTGCTAGTGAACAAATAAATTAAATAGGTCAAAGTAAGCAGCTTCAGAACTATAACCATCATTGTATATACTTTCCTGACTATGTTTCAATTCCAAATCAAAATTAGTTACTGGGTTTCAGTCATTTATTGTCTTTATTTATCAATTAAAATACGTTTCGGTGTATTTTTCCACCATCATCAGTTTTTCTAAAATAACATAGTTAAAAAAAATTCATTAATTTAAAAAACAATCACAGTTCGTCAACAGCCTCATCATATCACACATTAAAATACATCACAATTGCAACACTTTAAAACATTCTAAAATTAATTAGGCCTAACAGGTGATTAGTCAGGATAATCAAATTTGGGAAGAGACTAGAATTCATTGTTCAGATACTTAAATATTTTTACTTACACGTATAGCGTTGTTGGCGCTTTAAGCATACATTTGGAGTATTAATTTTGTCCATTTTGGTTTTGGACACAAAGCGAATAAAATATTGTTTATATTGATTTCTTTTACTTTCAGCTACTTTTCTTTGAATTCTGAGAATATTATTTTTGGTTTGCAAAATTCTTTAATATACCGGGTGTTAGTTAATATTCTATGTTTATTTCATTTAATTAATATATGATATACTGAGCCAAGATTGTCGGTATCCGATCTGAAATTCATAGCATTGTTGTTTTTTAATCTGTATCATTTAATGGACTCTTTTCTTATTATATTACTCTCGTTAATCAGTATTTTTGTGTTATCAAAATCAAAATTATGCAACTTCTGTTGTGCATGCTGTGCTAATGCTGTACCATTTTCGTTATTTTTTCTTAGGCTATACTTATGTTCGTATATTATTTTCTTTAGATATTGTCCTCTTTGACCTATGTATGTGTTATCACAATTCAAACAGTCTTTTTTGTAAATTACATTAGGCGTGTCTAACTTGTCAATCCTAGGTTTAAATTTTGTGAAACATTCATTTGCTAAGGTGTTTTTAGTTTTTTCTGCTATGTTGATATTATGTGATTTGAATAAAATTTTTATTTTTGTGTTAATTCCCGGAATATATGGTAATGATATATACTTTATAAAGTCAAATTTTTTTAACAACTTCTAACAACAACAAAATTTAAACCTAGGATTGACAAGTTAGACACGCCTAATGTAATTTACAAAATAGACTGTTTGAATTGTGATAACACATACATAGGTCAAAC